TCTATCTATCTCTCTCTATCTATCTATCTATCTATCTATCTATCTATCTCTATCTCTCTCAGACACACACACACACACACTGTGACACACACACACACACACACACAAGCAGAAGCTGCCGCTATTTCGCAGCTTCTTGGATCGTCTCTCTCTCTCTCTCTCTCTCTCTCTCTCTCTCTCTCTCTCTCTCTCTCTCTCTCTCTCCCACACACACACACACACACACACACACACACAGAGTCTCCCTGACACACGCACGGAATCTCACCGCACTAAAGACGGGTACGGGGCAGACTAGAGAATCGCCAGGCTGAACAAGGAACTTGCGGAAAGGAATGTTGCAGAAGTGTAAATCAACGCATTGTGACTCAATGCATATGAAACAAGACTCAGACAATGCACTTCATCTTCGTCGCTCCCGATGGCATGGAGGGCGGCATAGATAGACGAGGGTCCCTCTGTGCTCGCAGAGAATAATGCGAACAAAATCACGGATGGTGAGGGAAAAGAGAGGAGGAGGACGAAGAAGACACAGCCCGGATATAATTCTTCGCAATAATAATACCCTCTCCTTTAACAACAACTCTACATCAAACACCTCCAGCATTCGTTCTCGATTTCTGAAAATCAGGAGAAACGCACCTGAAGTGTTCTCTCTCTCTCTCTCTCTCTCTCTCTCTCTCTCTCTTTCTCTTTTAGAGCAGGCTGCCAAAGTCGGCTATGCCCGAGAATCCGCTCACCATTCTCAAAAGTACCCTTCTCGAGAGCGGCGGCGCCTCTACACCAACTCTTGCAATGGAATGCGGATATTTGTTAACACCTTTCTCGGCCTTTTGGCTAAGATCAAGTGTACTATCAATTTCCAAAAAAAAAAAAAAAAAAAAGACTTTTTAAATAATTTAAATATAAAAAACCTAGAAGAATATTGGGCTCACTGCACCAGCCGATAGCGAATCTAGAGTAGTTGTTTGGGCCTTCTTTTTTTCTTTTTTTTTTTTCTTTTTTTTTTTTTAATTTGGACCATTTCTCGATTTATGCGTGTCATCCTTGCGCAGGGGCCATGCTAATCTTCTCTGTATCGTTCCAATTTTAACAGATGTCCCGAAGGACATTGGGCCTTCTTTTTTACCTTCTTCTTTTCTTTTTTTTTTTTCTTTCTTTTTTTTTGAAATGACGATCATGGCCTTGAGAGATCATCTTTGATCTGACCAGCCAGGGCCAAGTCCCACTAGCAACGTTGAGTTTCCGCGACGACTGAATTTGGACGTGTTTGTGGAGATGTGCCGTAATCACGTTGAGCTTCCTCAACCGCACATAGCGACAAACACGTCCAGATTCGGGCATTGAGAAAAAACAATGCTGGTCTGCATTTCATCAGTTGTTGGAATTTGAACTCAGGTCTGCATTTCAAACAATTGGTAGGTATACCAACTGATCTACCTTCTTCCCCCGAACACAACGTACGGTCATTATAGCTGTATTTCAGTCCAGGTACAGCCATAATGACCGTACGTTGTACTCGGGGGAAGAAGGTAGGCCAGCTGGTAATCTGGACCATTTCTAGATTTCTAATCTTCTCCGTGTCTTTCCTTTTTCTTTTTTTTTTCTTTTTTCCCTTTCCAATTGTTTATGCATGTCTCAAAGGACTGTTCGCAATCAAAAAAAAAAAAAGGACTGTTCCAGAATTGTCAGTTGTTGGTTAGCTGAGATAGGGCGTTGGTCATTGCAGTGACCCCTTCGAGTCAGGCCGGTGATGCCTGGCTCCCAGACGAACTGATGAGTAAGCATTATATATATCGTCAAATAGAAATGATTATATATGTATATAAAACGGAAAAAAAAAAAAAAGCCTCCACGTACTCTCGACGGGCCACTCAAAAATCACTCTGCTTCTCAAAAAAAAAAAAAAAAAAAAAAAAAA